CAAGTCCCATACCCTGCTACAGAGTGCTTGGGTAAAGACATGCGACTACGATGGAATGTCGTCAGAGAGAGCATTGGATCAGCTCATCAGCACGGCCTAGGAGGGATGACACAATCAGTCATGATTTGCGCAAAAAGAAGGCTCTGACCTGCGTATCATGCAGATGACTCTTCTTGAGAAGAAAAATATTCCGTCTTGGTGCACCCTGTTTCTTCTGTTTCAGCCTCCTGTTTCCTCCGTTCGGAGAATAAGCCCTAACCTTGGAGATAGTGGCCTGGCACTAACTTGGAAGCGTTAGAGCGTCATCGATCTGATGGAATTGAGCCGCAAAGAGCTTCACCCCTTCCCATCTGGATTGACCCAAGCTCTTCCAATGCGAAACCCGGCCCGTATATGCTTTAACATCCTGACCTCGTTGGAGATGGGACTGCAGGTGGCAGGTATCTCGTTCAGCAATCTGAAAAATTGACAAGCTCTCAATTACAATGATTTTCATTTCTGTCATCCACACCTCCAGCTCAACCAATTACAAATCGAAATCTCTCTCTCTTCAAAGCTCTCCTACAATACTCTATTCCCTGTCTCACGGATCCTGGCCTCCTGTTGACATATGGAAACTTTGCAGCAGGCAACCGCGAAGCCAGTACCGGGCGGAAGGAATTTGAAAGGAAAATGAAACCAGGCCCGATCTATGCTGAGACTGCCCGTGCCAGAAACAGCGGATTCCTCATCAAAAGCCCACAACAAATGCAACCAAGGCACTTGTACATGTATGGAATATTTATGTCGTAGCAGTACAACACATGATGTTCTCTGCAAGTACCGTACATCGTACATGACATCTACTTGGTCAGCCCATGTTCGTTTACACATATACAACCTCTTCTTAAATTTATTTTCACAACGACCATTGCTGAAGTACCCATGATGCTTGTAATATGCGGACAAATACGTCGTACATATTAGCCCAGAGTTAAAAGCAAAATTGTGCCCACATGTTACCATGTCTGCAAATTCTGCTGTGATACACTTGTTCAGAATTCGAGGATGATGACACGGAAACAGCATTTAGGGTGGCATGCCATAATCCTACAAACTCTAGCTCGCATACTCATTCTTATCTTCTACTACTTCAGATTTGTTCGCGATATTTCCTTAATGTTGCGTGATCTGTTTCTTTTCTTCTCGGGCATGTCGGAAATCCACGTGTACAGACCGAGGGCCCCATTATGTTTCGATTATCTTTGCAAAAGAGAAAGATAGAAACAAAGTTGTTTCCGTTTCAAATGTACAGAAAATGACTGCGTCGCAACAGCGCAATTAAACCCCGCCGTTAATTGTACTGTACGTTGCTCCATGAAGGGCAACGTAAGGGACAATTGGTGGAGAATTTTTCCCCACCCATTGAAAAATATATCCAGGCGATAAAACCCCTCGCCTTGTGTTACACTATCCCGTGTCATTTTAAGAACAAAAAGGCGAGAAGATCAAAAAACAAAAAGCAAGATTGATCATCCGAAGAAGACTGAGGAAAATTCAATACGGGGGTGTTTAACTCAACCCCCAACCCGGCAACTATAAATGGGCTCGAATGTGACCAAGGAAACAGGGTAGTCATTAAATGACTTCTCATCCACAAAAGTAGGGCTCGTCGGTAGTGGACTCTTTCTTTTTCTTTTTCTCAAGGGTTGGACAGGTAAACTTGTCGATCCCCCGGCTGCCTATCAAAAAGACCCATTCCTTGAGCCAGCTAAACAAGGGTTAAGGACCTAGAAGTCTTTCTGCATTCTGAAATTTTCGACATTATGAAGTCTGGAAAGGATTGGCTGACTCTCACTTCTGATCCCTCTCATGGGCATCTTTTTATTGTTTCATTCTCTTCTTTTGCATGGCGAGATGGAACAGGCTAATAGCAGGTAGAGGTGGAAGCGTTACTTCGTACCCTTCATGGCTGTACTCGTGCACATGTGTGACGCACGGCATTTCCATTCAAAACATGACACGGTGGGCCTTCCGAAGTTACAGCGGAGTTGTATACAGGTCCATTTTGACAAATAAATTTGATTTAAGGGTGGTAGAGGGGAGGAAGAAAGGGGTTGGGGGTTGTTTGAGATTTTGTTCAGCCGATCGCAAATCCAAACAGTTTCCCGGGCGAACAATGGATACCAGTTACGAAAAATATTCCAGAAGTTCTCCATAAAAATGAGATGTTCTGATGAACCATGCATCCCATCTATCAGGTTGAATGTTGAATTAAGCTATGGTCCATGACGGGTACCTTGTCGTCGTACAATGTACAGTGGGGGGAGATAATTATATGTACACTAGTGCATTTTTGCATCAACCAAGAATATTGCAATACTCTATTATTTCAAATATCTCAACCAATATATTAGATATAGCTCTGACAGTAGAGTATTATATAGAATAGAATATAAAGAGTTAATTATACATGATATCTTTCTTAATATTTAATTGCATCTTTCTTAACAGTAATTACTGTTTTCATTCATTGTGATATTAATTTTATAAGATTCTGTATCTTTTTCTATGTAACAGAATTTCATATCTTCTGTAATTCATTCTTCATCTGCTCTGTAAAGTGTATTTTATGTCTTATCTTTGAAACACAGTGCTTTATAGTCATTCAAAGATTCTCAATTAAATTTAAATCAGAGAATTATGTAGATCATTCTTCATAATTTATTCACACATTTTTTATTCACTTTTTTACTGTTTTAGACATATGATAAGATGCATCATCATCCATTCAATATATAATTTCATGTTTTTTAAAGATTCTTTCATAATGAGAATAATTGAATTTGAATGGAATACTGATATAATATGAGAAATTCATCTGAATTTCAGATGAAAGAAAAACAAACTCTGATTTAAAATTTCAATTTATAACAACTCACATCTCAACTGTGAAGTATCTGAATTTGAATGTCAGCAGAAGATATTGATTTTTAAAAATCTAATTATATAAATGATGTATAAATATATTTGATATATTCAAATCAATCTTAAAATTGAATTTGTCTGAGAAACTTGCACAGACTCAATTTTTTAGATGTCAATTCTTATGATCATAACAGAATTTCTGTTGATTTTATTTGTGTAAAGATTTTAGAAAGAGTTTTGAATGAGATTGAAAGATATTTCTGTTATTTTTTTTTTTTTTTTTTTTGAAATATAATTGAATGATTTTGATGGCAAGAAAATAGATAGACTTTGAAAATGATTAAAATGATATGAGAGAATTAAATGAATTTTGATTCACAGTGTGTATTAATTGATGTTCATTATAAACAAAGAGTTTAAAAGGTCTGTCAAATTTTTTTTAAAGTTGATTAGAAAGTTCTTTCAACATGTTTTGTAATAGATAATAGAGAAGATAGTAGAGTGAGATATCTTCAAATTAAAGACAATAGATAAGAATATATTGAATAATGATGTGAGTGACATTTGAATCTCTGCCTGACATTTTTTAAAAAGCTTGCATGAATATCAGGGGGTTGGTGGCAAAGAAATGCAAGGTGAAATCAGGGATATAATATGGGGTGACACACCGAGCCGCTAATTGTATGTATAATTATCTCCCCCACTGTACATGTACCTTGGGTTGTACCTCTCTCCCACATCACTAGATAAAGCTGCAAGTACAGTTAGATATACAATTGTCAAAATTGAGTTCCGTCGCTTTGTCAATCTCGCCTTTCTCTTTACAGATTCTACCATGCCTCCCCATGATGTGCATCCATTCAAAAATTGGCTAAGAATCTGCACTACAATTCACCAACAGCAAGGTGGGATTGAGCCCCAAAGTGCCAGCAGAATAATGATATTGACGACCTAGGTAGATGAAGGAAATGACTCCGAACCAACCGCTCGAATGTCATTTATTCCTGAAATACTATCTGAGTGTCTAAGTAAAGAGATGTAGCTTTCCCATTATTTACGGGTAATTTATAAGCTAATTTTGTTCTCGTATCAAACTTCAACTTTATGACGCTGTGTTCCCGCTTATCGCAACAAATTCGAGAAGCAAAAAAGTTGTATTGAACTCGAGTTGTTCTATGCTGGTTTTGGGAAGTCATGGAGATATTGGCAGGTCAAAAATCTGTGCCTCCGGGGGTATCATATCATATATGTAAAGGTTGCTTGCCCAAGGCAACCCTCTGGTTAATAACTCGGGCAAAAGCTCTGCTCACCCATGGATTTTTGGGTGTGAATTTAATGTCCCCTTCCCACCAATCGCTTCAAATTTGAAAACGGGGACTTGGTCATACGTCTGATATTTATCCGAATTTTGAGAGAGGTGGGTTGGACAAATACCTATCAGCATCGCTGGACGCAAAAATCAGGTTAAAAAGAACCATATGGCCCTTCTTAGCGTCCTCGGATTCCAAGAGCGGCTGGTCATGACTGTGGTCGCGACCTTCCAAGGCTAGTATCGATTGGTTGCGTCAGAAGTTGCTTCGTCGAGCTACAGTGTAGAGACCAAGTTACTTCTGAACAAACTGCTGAATGAAACTTTCGTCTATTTTCTGAGTGTTTCTGTTCCTTCGCAGCGTGAGAGAAGAATAATCGGCCTATTCACTTGGTGGTTGATTCTCAGCTGTAGATAGAGCCCCTCGTCGAAAGAAACAAAAAAAAAAGAAGAAAAAGAAAAAGCAATTATCCCTTGTGCCCCTCCCTTGAATACAGGTCTGGTACATGGTGGCTAATGGCGTAAGTTGCATGCACGGGACTCTTGGTCTCATGGTGCGGAAATGCACGATGCAGTGGGGAGGGTCGAAGTTCCAAGAATTTGTTTACTTGGTCAACTCCCTCGTCCCTGCGTACAGACAGAGTTGGCTAGTTAGACGGAATCAGCTGTCAAAATAATAGAACATTTCAATGGTATATTCGCCGTCAGCACAATACTGCTATCCCAAACCCAAAGATCAATGATGAAGTCAATGGTGGTGCTCGTACTCCGTAAAGTGGAAGAAGTTACTCGTACTAGCCTCTTGTACGGTACGGCGGCGCAGTAGTGTAAAACAGCAAGGAGCGCGAGTGTCGACGAGATGTCATGGTCAATCCGATGTATTGCCCGTGTAAAGGCGTCATCCCAAAAGCTTTCCCGCAGTTAGCTTGTATTAGTCGTATAAAATTACCAGACATTGACTTTACTCTTGCTGCGGAACTTTGGAGGTTCCCCGCATCTCAGCCTACTTGCCCGCTCGCCACGCCCCCTTCACCTTCTGTTATAACTGCGTCGACTACATCGGTCAACGTCTGTTACTACGACATTTGCCCACCTCCCTTTGCCATCCACCCCCCGGCATTCTGGCCTTGTTAGCCCTCTGCATTCCGCATCATCGGATGCTCTCTATTTTACTGTACTGAATTGTTGCTCTCTACTTGCAGTTACCTGCCCTACTCCTGACAAGGTACAGTACATTGACCTACATGTCCCTACGCGCTCTCCTAATACTTGTCTCTCTTAAGGCTCCGTATTGATAGATACTTTGCGGCTTCTGCCATTTCCTCCCACCCATTCCTTGTCCGCCTATTCATCACTTAAGACACAGCTGCTTTTACTTTTTTGTCGTCTCAAAGGTCGCCCTACATCACGATACTTCCCCCACCCTTTACTCCCTCCCCCCTACCAATCGCCCTTCTGTCTCCATTTGTTTCTTGCTCCAGTGTTTGTACAATCATCTCTCAAGGTCCCCCACGCTTCATTCCATGTTCCTGTCCCGGTTTGATCTTCGAGATCAGGCTTGCGGTATTCGTCGCTTCCGATCCTAGTGTGTAACGTTTTCTTGCACGGTTTTCGCCGCTTCATCAACGAACGACCCGGCCAAGGCTAACTAATTAATCTTCGTATCTCTACAGATGAATTGGCCGGTTTTTGCGTCGAGGCCTCCTCTCCCTAATATGTCGTGAGTATCTTCTACTACTATCGCAGTTTTCTAATCAGAACAAAACCTGCCTTACTTTTGCCTCGAAAACCTACTTTCTCCCCTCTCCCCCTCTCCCCCTCTCCCCCTCTCTTCTACCATAATTACTCTCCCAACTGCTATGGTATCGCCAGCGTCAGGTCGGGATGCTTCATTCGTTTGCTCTGTGGCGTCGTCCTAGACGTTAAGAATGCTGTCGGCCAAGTGGTTTATTCAAGAATGGTGTTTACTAACCGTTATGCTCGTCTTTCTCATAGATCTCCCCCAACTTCCAAGCGCATCAAAACAGCTGTTGCCTCCAACACACCCACGCACCCCCTAAACCAACAGCAACAACAGCAGCCTCCTCCTTTTACCGGGCCTGGCCCCTTCGAAAGGCGCCTCTATGGTGCCCATTTCTACTCCAGCCCCAGCTCCAGCCCCCAGCAGCTCCAAATCCCCGGAAGGCGACGTGCGTCATTCCAGACTGCTTCTTTGGGCCGCCCATGGCGCCCTCCCCCGCTAACAGGTGCTATTGAAGGCGAGGGAAATACCACTAGTACAGCTGGCGCACCAACTGCGCCCGAAACTACGGTCAAAAAAAAGGGTCGAACAAACACGCCATGGACAGCTGAGGAGGAGCAGCGACTCAAGACTATGCGCGATGCTGGGAGCACTTGGAGTGAGATTGCCAAGGTTCGTCGAGCTCAATTTCGTGCCGGCCTACAAGAGGCTCCGTTACATACGGAGTGTATAAAATATCAAAGTCTAACAGTATATGGTACACCAGACCTTCCCCATGCGAACTGAAGGAAGTGTGAAGAAACATTGGTACAAGGTTAGATTTTCCCCCTCGTGCCTTTGCCACAAATGTGATATTAGACACCTGTATCGATCTAACTAGAACATAGGACATGCATTATGCTGAATTCACTGAGGAGGAGGTGTGTTATGATATCAACTAAAACATGTCGCCGTTTCTAGCTTTAACGTGCTCTTAGTCCATAACACTACGCGATGCCATCAAAGAATACGAATCAAATAAATGGAAAGTCATTGGGCAGAAAATTGGGAAGCCAGCAAAGGTGATTTTCCCCAGCTCCGAGTTCATTGACCGGAATGTTCTGACATTTGAACGAAAAAGGCTTGTGAGCAATACGCCAAGGAGCATTTTAAAAGCATCTAAGATGTACCTCGGGCTCGGAAAATTACCTTTTATACTATATCCACCCTCTTTCCTGACAACTGACACTCGTGCTTGTGCCGTTGTATATCCCCACTATGTCACTATTCTCATCCAGGAAGTTATTTATGAATTGCCACAACATTATGACGAGTAAGCGAATCGCAGGCTTCAGGAGTTTAGGCTGGGCGTTCACACCTTATTATCGTGGTTAGTAACAAGGTGGGGCAAGTCCATGCAGTTTTCACGCGATTGCTATACCCCCGTTTCCTATGTTCTCTATCTACCCTTTTCTACTCATTTCTTTCATTTTTCACTTCCGTTCATCTTTTTTTCCTTTCAAAATGCCTCTCTGTGCTTGGGAATGGGGTTTTTCGGGAAACGGCTCATTGGGCAACATATCTATATGAATGCGAACAGGATCGTTTGGTTGCTAATTACCTTCTTTTCTTGTGTAATCCTTTCATTTCCGTACCTACTTTTTTTTTATTGGTTTTATTCCGTTCTTCAGATTTCTTGATTCAAACCCCCACCCCCTCCCTCTCTGTTCCCCTGTTCTCTTATACATTTTCCTATTGTGCGTCCCATTACTTCCAATCTTGAATTCGGGTGGTATATCATATCAAAACCAACTGGAAAAACAAATCAAACCAGCTTTGTATACAGCAAATTAAAACAAGCTGGCAGGTTTCCCCACTTTCCCCAAGCTTCCGCAAAGAACTTTTTCTCCATGGATAAACTCAATGTATAAGTCAGTCGCTCTTTCCTTTTATCGTTCTTGATGCAGAAGCGAGCTATTCTTTGGAATGACGAAGTTAGGTGGTTCCCCACTATCACTCTCGTCGTCGTCTCCGTATTGATATAGATCAGGAGGGCGGATGGCACACAAACAGAATAGGGCGTGTAAGGCCTTAACTTCGTCCTCTCATCTTTTGTAGTGATGAGGAGACGAGGATGGGGGTTGTTAGGTTATTAGGGTTGTTATTACGCGTACTGATGATGGTAGCAATTTGGGAGCAATGGGACTGAGTCTGGAAATTATTTTCTGTCTTTCCGTTGGCCTATCTATATATTTTATTCCTTATTCTTTTCTTTTCTTTTATTTCTTTCTTTTTCTTTTTTCCCCCTCCACCCTCCCCCAATCTTTATATCGCTGCCTGGGAAAAGTGATCTATGGGAAATTTACAAAATACAGAAACAGCATGTCAAAAATGGTCCTCTGACATAAATATGTATAGTAAATATGTTGATGCAAGAAAGGTTAGAAATGAACTGGGAAATTCTGCAGATATGTGCATTTCATGCATCATGCATGA